ATGGAACTGTTTGGGAAGGATTAGGAAGTGTGGACTTGTTGGATGAGGTGTGTCATTAAGGTTTTGAGGTTTCAGAAGACTCACACCATTCCCAGTGTCTTCTTTGCCTCTTACTTTCAAGCCGAATTAAACTCTTTCTTTTACAAATTGTTTTGGTCCTGGTGTTTTGTCATAGCAATGGAAAAGGAACTAATGCTAAAGATGTCTTAGTGACTACAAGTGCCCTGCTGCTTGGGGCTCAGGCCAGATCTAGCCTGTTACTCCCTCGCTTGGCTCACAGACACCAGCAGCATCCATGTTGCTATGATTTAATGGTTGTGTTTACTGCACCACAGAGTGTGGCAGCCTTTGTTCCCTTTAGGAAGTTCTCAAGCAAAACAAGAAAACACTTGTCTTATGTTCATACAACCATAGATAGTGAATGTCATGTGAATGCATGCATATATGGAGCATATATACACATGTGCACATGCACTATACAAATGGGCACAGATATATACATATGTATACACTCACATAACATGTACATGTGTACCCACTGTGTACCTCTATATGTATATACACACATGTATGTCTGCTCAGTGTATTCTATGCAAACATATTCATATTCCAGCCATGTATGTGTGGACACATCTCTGTGCACACAGCCCCCACAGAAAGCTCACTTCTTGGTTCTATGCAGTTTCTGGGGCCTTGGTGCTACACTGCAGCAGGAGTCCCATTGTTCAAGGAAAAGGCAGTTGGGATGTATTTGTCATCCCTACAGAATGCATTTGGAGACTGACGACGGTCATAGTGGCAGTGTTGGTGACCCTGAATTAAGGGATACAGGAATGATTGTGAGTTTGTGATATAGTGGAGCAGAGAAGGGTGCTTGGACCTCTGCCTACTGCTGTGAGGACTGTGACCACATCCCTTTCACACATGACTGAGATAATATCCCATGCTTCCCCAAATCTATCACAGATAATGAGACCATGACCCCAAAAAGTTCACCTGCTCCAGATGTGTGGAGGCCCACAAAGGTTCCTAGTGAGATCTGAGCTTGCTTTACATAGCAGGGCTGTATTTGAGGATTGCTTGACCACGGGCATGGTTACTAGGTGATTGGAAGGGTCTGCACTTGGCTGTGCTAGGTGGAGGTCTTTGCTCCACCCCTTGGCATTCCTATAAATAGCCCTTTAGACTAGACTGTGAGGGCCGGTGGATAAGGATTCAGGTCCTCCTGAGGGTATCCTGTGTTGCTATCTGTCTCTCTCCTCTCTATCCTTTTATCTAAATCTCTTATCCCTCTCTCCTCAAGAGTACCCTGGGGAAAAGGTGGGAACTGGTCTCCCACAGCACATGAGGAAGGACCATATCCCCAAAACTACTGCAGCGAAACTCTCACTCCTAACTAGTTACACTGGATCATCCACACCCCCAAGTGACCATTTTTATAAAGCAGTGTTGTCCTAGGAAGTATGTCTGCTGGGAGCAATTAACAGCTCACCGTTGAGCTTGCCACTGCATAGGAAGCAGTTGATCCTCAGCCACTATGCTGGGAATGGCAGCCGGGGCTGAAGAGGTTGGCACAGCATGCTTGCTTGAATGTTTTACCACAATCTCCTTAGCAGTGAGTGAACCAGATGTGAAGACAGCATCTGCATACACTGTGCAACATGGATCACGTGTGCACATGTATACAGTGTGCTCTGAGCTCATGGGCATTGCAGGGGGCACATTGTTTCCACATGTGTGGTCATTGTCTGTGTGCCATGTGTCACTCAAATGTGTGTGTATGGGAGCATCGGATGAGAGACCTCGTTTAGATGCCTGGAGTGAGGGCCTGGTGGTGTGTGTTAATGGAGGCAACATGAAGCAGGCCAATTTCAAAGCAAATAAAAACCTGGCTCAGACTTACAGTGCAGCTATTTCCTCCCATGATCAGCTGTGCTGTGAGTTAAATTAGCCGACAGAAATGCATGGGGTGGAAGCTTCTGCCAGCTAGACACCTGTAAATCATCCATCAGCCAAAACAGTCCTCCTGAGCACTCACCCTCAGGGCCGGGGAGTGGGGAGCCTAGATGAAGAACAGTTTTGTTCTGGCAGAAGCAACTATATCCCCTCTGCTAGCTCAGGATGACAGCTGCTGAGAGGTCTCACAGCCGCTTGGCCCCACATACATCCAATAAGGTTGGACAACCAGAGAAGCCACATTGGAAAGCTGGTCCAAACGTGGAAATGGGGACAACCAATCTGAAGCAAGCACAGGCAGGCATGTCTGTCTGAGTTGTAGCCTTTGGGAGGTGGGGAGGAGTAGGGTTAAACCTGGGAGGAGAGGTCAAGGATCCCAAGACCCCTAGGGCACAGAATCAGAGGTTAAGAAAAATTAGTCACACAGGGAAGCAGCTTGCTTAGATACCATCACCAACAGGAAAGTTAGAATCAGAGGTCATGCTGGCCAGGGCTGGAGCAGTCCCAGATGAGCTGGCTTTGCCTGTACCACCAAGTGTCTATTACCCTCCATGCTCTCTCTCACACACGTGTGCATGCCCCACATTAATTGACATCATTCACATTTATATGCATTGTGAACCCATGTGCACTAAAATGTACCCTGAATTGAGCAGAAAACTGCCTTTTAATCTGAGGTCCGCAACTACTGTGCCCAGTCCAAACAAGGGTCTTTCTTCATGACTCTACAGCCAAAAAGATCACTGCATGAAAAAACAGACATACCATATGGAGGTTCCATAACCTCCTCAACGTCACTAGCAACTGGGGATGAGGTATTCAGATACATGAGCCAGTGGGAGAGATTTCTTATTCAAACCACCACACGTGAACAAACCTATTAACCCCAAATAAGGCACCAGCGACAAAACCAAAGGATTAGTTTCATCCAGTTTAGTGAATGAGTGCATGGACTGCTTACGGACGAGAGGGAGCCTTATGAGACACTTAACTAGCCCTGTGAGCTCTCTCCTGCATCCAAGATGAAACGTTGGTGGGCCTAGTTTTGTTGAGTGCTGAGTGGGGAATCACAGATGCCCAGATTTCAAAACAGCCATGGCCACGTCAGGCTCAGAGGACAGAGGGAGCATCATGCCCAGTTTCCTCCCGATGCGCACAAGGCTTTGCTCAGTTTCCTACGGCATTTTCTTTTCCTGACTTCCAGACTTCCTGTTCTGGATGCCGACTCTGTGAGCTTTCCTTCTTCTTCCTTTTGATTTTCTTCATTTTCCTCCTTCCAAACAATGTCTTGCTCTATTGTCCAGGCTAGCCTTAAACTCCTGAACTCAAATAAGCCTTGTGCTTCAGCTTCCAGAGTAGCTAGAACCACTGGTATGTACCACCATGCCCACTCTTTCCCGTGTTTTCTGTGTTCCAGTTTTTGCTTCCCATGGCATCGTTAGCAGTGCGGGTGACTCTGCCAGTCTCTTCATGATGGCTGCCCCTCTGGCTTCTCTTCCTCTTTCTCAACATGAGAAAACCTTCTACATCATCTCTAGATGCTTTGGATTCAAGCTCATATTTGGCTGAGTCATCTGAGTATTGGGGGAGTGGAGCAGGCATCAGTTTAACTTGTTTCCCACGTGGGGACCCAGTTTTCCTGGCACCCATTCAATGGAGTCCACCCTTTCCTATGGAACCGTGGCACCAGCACTTTGGGTCCTCCTCAGTGTTTTGGGGCACATGCCTGGCCACTCTCTGCCTGCCTCATCCACCCTGAGGGGACCTTACATTCTCAGTCACTATGGCTTCAGAGCATCTCTGACTCACCCACTAGTGTGGGTGTCCATCTGGTCCTCCAGGATGCCCAGCCACTCTCCACGGTCTAATTATTTAAAGATAATTTTTTGAAAATATCTGTCTCTCTATATCTCTATTTTTCTCCCCCTTCCCCAACTGTATCTTCACCCATTGGGTGCTTGATATTATTTCCACCTACAGTTAAGTCTGGTCACAGCATCATCTCTCTCCGTATGTCCAGCTGTTTTTGCTGCACGGTGGTTCACTGGTATTTCCCACAGATGCTCAATTAATTGTTGTATTAACGCTATGCTTTATATTTGAATGACACTGTGAATGGTTTTCCTGACGTTTGCCCCTCTTCATTGCTTTCTGTAGATTCTCTCAAAGGTACAAACCCTGGGATTCCTGTACTGGTACTGCAGGCTGTTTTGGGTATCTGTGAGTTCCCACTCGCCTGATTCCTCATCTTCTCCTTTTCCTGGTCCTTCCTGCTGGGTTGGTGCCTCTGTTCTCACCGGCTTGTGGTGGGAATAGATCCATACCCTACTCTGTACCACACAGCATGTGGCCATCCTCCTCTTGTAAGGCTTTGTTTGGTCTTCAGTGGAAGTTTCATTTTATCAGATTGTTTCTGCACCCACAAAGAAAATAAGATCTCTTATAATAATCATCCCGGGAGTCTCCTGAGAGTCTCCACAAAAGACTGCCACTTGCCTGCCCGTGTGACAGCTGTGGGGCCAAACCCAGCCCTGTCTCCAACCCACCTGCTGGGTGGATTCCTGGGGTGCCAGCAGCATCTGTGCAGCATGGATCCTCACCTGACACCCTGTCCCAAGAGGAGGAGCCAAAGGCTGCTGCAGTCCTGTCTTTCAGTCCCCCTCCTCCCTCAGTAAGCCTCTGCCACCAAGCCTGTGGTCGGTGGGCTACGTTGCCCACCCCCATCCTTTCTCTCCCCGTGAGACCCCGCTTCCCTCCTTCTCCACAGCCTCCTCCTTTGCCTGCCTCACAATAGGTCTCCCCCTTGTCTCACGGGGGCGTCATTACTGTCCCGCAGCATGACATCATAATAGGCTGCTGTCCCGGGAAACAAAGCCCTTTGGAGACACCAAGGAGACACGTCCTGTTTATGTCGTCACTGACTAGACAGAAGTGGAAATAGAGGGGGCAGAGTAAACATCTGTAGATTGGGAAGAACAATACCATTTGTCCCCTTTTATTTCTGAAGCTGCTGAAATTATGCCTTGCACAGCACAGAAATGGAGTGTGTATGTTCGTGTGTGTGTTTGTGTGTGCGCGCACTCGTGCGCGTGCAGGTGGATTAATAAAAACCCATTGAAATGCAAATTTGAGGACCCCTCCTCCAAAACAAGCTAGTCATCACCCCCATCGTCCCAGGATGCACAGAAGCCCACCAGCAAGAGACAAGGACTCAGGACCTCCCGCCTGAATGGCCAGAGAGGGGCATGCTGCAGGTCACAGCAGCTCAGATGTGACAGACCTGACACCAGTAAGTAGGGGGTGCAGAGTGTAGTTTCAAGGTCCCTCCGCATCTTTACTGTCTCAATCTTTATTCTGGAAAAATAAACTCAGAGGTTGTTTCTTACAAAACATGCAAAATACATATCATGCAACAGTATTTGCAGGAATAGCCATAAATAGGAGCTCACAACTGGGACAAGGTATGCCTGGAGCTATGCAGAGGTCATGACGAGGTAGAGGCCACCAGGAAAGTCAAAAGTGCCATAGCTCCCAGATATGTGTTTGTTCTGAGGTGGCTGAGGCACTGCATGCCATTCTCAGACTCAAATCTCAAGACCATAGCTGTTTGGATGCAACCCTTGCAGAAGTAAACAGTCAGTTTAGCATTGTAGGAAGAGGGTCTGGTTAGAAATCCAAGCAGAAAGGGAAGCCTAGCCTGTGGCTGCTCCCGTGCAGACCACATCAAAAGCTGGGGCAAGAATGGCCAACCCCAAGGATCCCTTCTTCTAGTCTCCAGAGAGGCACTCTGGGGGATGCAATTCTGAAGCCGGTGATACCACCCAGCATCTCCACCCACTAGCTTCACAGACGGGTCTGTGCTGCAATGTGAATAGTAACCGGCATTTAAAGATGCACCTGGTAGTTAAGCCTAATTTATTCTTTCTGTTGGAAGGGGTATCCAACAATGCTTCCTTCTGCGCTTTGTCGAAGATTAACTGTTTATGACCCTGCCATGTGACACTGGGTGATAAATGCCTTTGCCTTCCAGTACATGTCAGTGGAGCTCTCAGGCATAAAATTTTAGGCTTGCCTGTTCTTCCTCCAAGGGGCCTGGAGACCCACTTGTCTATTAGCCACACAGACTTCACTTTCTGGGACTGCATGGGACATTTTGATCCTTGCCAGTAGTGCCTCTTCCAGCTGAGTCTGGAAAAAAGAGAGGCAGAGAGAAGGTAAAGGGTCTGCTGGGGATTGTATACACACACACACACACACACACACACACACACACACACACATGCACACACATATGTATGAACACACCAATAGTGGCATCTGCATGCATACTCATGATTATATGTGCATTTAGACACATGTACTCATGCTCACATGCATGCATTCAGGCACCTTCACATCTTCACGTATGTGGACTCAGACACCCGCACACATGCTCACATGTATGCATTTAGACACCTGCATGTAACTGCACAGAATCCTACTGATTTCTACTCAAGGACATGGGTGAGGGTCACATTTCCAGAATAGTACATGTTTAGGAGCGAGAGTCTAACTGGGCAGGCCTGAGGTGGCCCTAGCAGACCCTAGCAAGCAGGATCTCTGCTGTGTGTACACTCATGCTGTCTACTAACACATAAGGTTTCCAGCATTGCCTGAGCCAAACTGGACTTAGCTATGGACATGCCACTACCCAGACAGCTAGGAGTGCTTGTGCTACAACACAGTAGGTCCATTTCCTCATTTAAAAATTTTCTAAAAACACCCAAATAAATGTTGCCGTGAAAGACTGAGTAAAGCCTGGGCTCCTGGGCCCTCCCTATGGATCCAGCCTGGAGGTGTAACCCCAGAGATTCCTCAGGCTGGGGTATTGGCCATTGTATGGTAGGGTGGTCCTTTGGCCCCTTCCTCCATAGTTCAAGCCTCATGGTGTGTTTCTGCTGCGTTGTGTGGCCTGGGTAGGTAGGTGTGTCCTTGAATATAGCACGATGCAGCAGTTCCTTGTGAATGTCATGCTGCATGGCGGCACACAGACCAAGGACGAGGATGTAGGAGGGGCAAGGCTGGGTGACAGAATGCCCCACATGCTCCCAAGCACATTTGCTTTGCTTCTCTGCCAAGTGGGAGGCTCTTCCAGCACTGTTGCTGACACCCGCTCCCCAGGCCCTTTGTTTCTGGCACGTGTCACCTCGTGCCACTTGGCAACACTGCAGAGGACCCCACACCACGCTCTGCCCGGTGAGGAAAGACTTGTGCTCAGGGCTCACAGCGGAGGCCCTGGACATCTCAGCCCCTCTGGCCATTCGAACCTTTTGTTCAACCCTGAGGACAAGGCAGATACAGCCTGCCTTTGTAAGAAAACTGTCAGAATCCCTAACCTCCTCCCCCAACCAAGGGTGGTTCTCCTGAGAAGCCACTAGGAGGGAGGCAGGGCAAGAGCCAGGAAGGGCAGTGAGAACTGTCTACAGCCCTTCCTTGTCCCAAATCTAATGCTGAAAGTGTTCACTGGAGTACAGAGGACCTGCTTGGCCAGCACAAAGCTTGTTCAAGACTTTCTTTAAAAACGAACCAGGAAGGTACACTTTAAGTTAATAATGAACTTAAAAGCTGCCAGATACACCAATTTTAAAAGCCATTTTCTGAGTTCAAGATCAGTGACTCTGGATTAGCCGAACTGGTCTTTAATTCGAGGATTTGGGACTCAGGGCTAATTTGGTTCCTATGAATTGACTATGCAATGTCCAGCCATGAGTTCCCCGGTTAATAGTCTCCTCTAAGACTTGGGCATCATGGGATGCTGTGGGCTTTGGAACCCACTGGCCAACCCCTGGGCCAAGCGGCTCTTCTCCCCAGGGCCTGACTAAAGTGTGGGTATGAGCTTATGGGATGTGGCTAAGGCCTCAATGAGTTGGGCTGGAGAAGGAGTCAGTCAAATCAGTGAAAATTTGCAGGACCATAGTGGATAGTGCCCCAGCTTGGCCTTTCTCGTAGACTGAGGGGCTCCTTTCTATTCTGGCTGCTGTAGCACAGGCCATTGAGCTGCAAAGAACAGGAATTCATTCCTTATGATCCTGGGGCCTGGGAAGTCCTGGTGGGGAACTAGCGGACTGGTGAACTCTAGATTCGTAGAATCCTGTACCTTGTGGTAGCATCTTCTTACTGAGCCCTCAGAGGCTGGGAGGGATAAGGGGGGTGCTCCATCATCTGTTTCTGTGTGTACAGATTTGTGTGCTCTGGGTCCTCCATGTCTGTGGACTCACACATTGTATGGCCTGCTTTGTGTGTGTGACTATGGTTTATTGTCCATGTATGTTGGGCATGCATGTGGGTGTATGGATGTGCATGTGGAGGCCAAAACAGAATGTCAGGTGCCTTCCTCTGTCACGCCTCACTGCCTTGAGACAGGGTCTTTCTCGAGTGAGAAGCTCACCATTTCAGCTAAGCTGGCTGGCCAGGGAACTCTCAACACCTGCCTGTCTCTGATCTGTGGTGCTGGGGCTCCAGGCAAGTATAGCAATGCCTGGCTGTTTACACACATGTTGGGAACTCGAACTCAGGTCTTCATGCTTACAGAGCAAGTGCTCTTACCCACTAAGCTATCTCCCAGCCTTGATATATGGCCTTCCACATCTCATTTCTTTCATACAGTATCATGTCCTGGAGGCTCAGGTCACATGGCAGTACACATGCCTTTTTTATAAATGAACAACATTCCTCTTTACATGAACCTGCATCTTATCTGTCCACACATCCGGAGATGGACATTTGGGCTGTTCCCATCCCTTGGTTTTTCCAAGCAATTTTGCTATGAGCATTGTGGAATTGTGATGTCACATGGTGTTCCCATTTTTAACCTTTTGAAGATCCATGAGCTTTTCCAAAGCAGCTGCACTATTTTACATCCCCACCAGTGCTGCGTGCAGATTCTGAGCTTCTGTTTCAAAGATGTTAAAAATAGGTCTGACAAGATGGTTCAGCAGGTAAAGGTACTTGCCATCTGGGGTTTTAGCTCCAGGACCCAGAAGCTTGTACATTGTATGACTTCCACACATACAATGTGGCGTACATAAGCCCACACAGAGAAATAAAATTTTAAATGTAATGAAAAATTAAATCATTTACAGAAGAAAATGGCCTCCCTCACTGTGGTGTGACACATTGCTCTCCTGACCCCTCCTGACACCTGTCAATGGAGCAGTCATAGTCACGAACAGAGGGACAGTGTATATGCAGGATCACAGGAAGGTGCTGTTGTGTACTGTCCCTGGTGCATACACTCATGCTGAGGATAGCTGAGCTAGTTGTGGTGTTAGGGTGTCACAGCTAGACACATTCCTAGGTGAGCTAATCCCACCTTACTTTCACTATAGACTTAGAGGTAGAGTGACTGGCCCATTTGGGTCTCCTCAGCCCTGACAAGGTCTTCAGGATATGCCACCTGCACACCTTTGAAAAGGTATGTGGCCACTAGCCTTTGACTGAACTAATGTGAAAACAGTCTAACGGGATGGGAAAGAGACCAATGAAGGTGAGTCCCCATAGGACTGCTGGAGTGCAGCACCAAGTAGCTTCCATCCCACCTTGTGGCATTTGTATGGATCCGAATATGGCACAGTGTCACCTCTGTTGTCTACAAACACCCAGCCTGCTCCTGCTTCTCAGTATCATGGTCTCTAGGGAGTGAAGGCAGGTGTGCCTCTGCAGGAGGAACTTTTGATGCTGAACAACAGCAGCAGCATTCTGTCTAGCATGCAGATCAAGTCTCCTGGAGAAAACAACTACATTTGAATTTGACACACTATCAGCTGCCTTAAACCAACTGGGCACATAGGAACCAGGTTACCAGGGAAACCATGTTGGAAGGATGACCAGCCAGGAAAACACCTTACTTATAGCCTGGAAACTCCTGAAGCCTCACTAGCTGCAGCGGAAATAACTAAAGTTAGTTGAAGAAATTAGTTTAAATTAAAGACTATTAAGAGGATGAAAACACAAGCTACAGGCGGAGTCAAAACATCAGCAAACCGTGGACCAGTGAACATGCAGAGGGACTCGCAGAGGGACTCTCAAAACTCAATAGTGAAAAACAAGCAACCCACATGGAAAATAGAACCATGAAGAGTCATCCCACCCAAAAGGCTATCCAGAGGAGAAATGGGGCATGCGAAGGTCCTCAGCGTCCACCACCAGGGAATGCAAGTAGGACCACGGGGAAGCTCCACTTGCCCCAATCAGAGTGGCTGAGATAGAAACAAAGATGGAGCCGTGTCTGGCAGCACACACGTAGAATCCCAGCACTCAGGATGGAAGCAGGAGGATTGTGAGCTGGAGGTCAGTCCAAGAAACTGACAAGGCTGTGGAAGCGTGGCCACTCATACAATGTTGGTGGGAATGTAAATGGTACAGCCACTGCAGAAAACCAAAGCAAGTGTGTGCATTTGAGCTGCTCAGCAGCTGCAGTTCTGAGTTTTTATTCAGAGAAATGGAAACCTGTTCAGCTATTCATGGCAGTTATGTCGTTAACAGCCAGACACTAGAAACAGTGTCCTCTGTAGGTGATGGGTAAAGGATTGTGGCTCAGCACATCATAGCCACTGCTCAGCTATGGAACAATGACCATTGATACAGAGCAAGAAGAGATCTAGGAGGGGGTACTGAGGGGGGAAAGCTGTCCTCAGAGCTTGAACTCAGTCCAGACCTGCCTTCTTTGTCTCATAATACTTAGTATCCAGAGTTGGGGGACGCGGAAGCACCTGAGGGGCAGGATGTGCCTGTGAAGGGTATATAGGAGTGGCAGGGTGGGGGAGGAAAGCCTGGTAGCTAGGGGGCAACTCTAGGTCTCACTGGTGTTGGTTATATGGAAAGGACAGATACACTATAGGGATATCACATCCAGGGTGTGATGTGGGATCACAATTTCCCCAAGTTATACTGAGGTACTTGGGTGAGATATGCAGCGGACATTGCTGGGCCGTCTGTCCTCAGCCTCCTGTGAGTCTATCATTATTTCAAAATAACAAGTGTTTTTTTTTTTTTTAAGTGACAGCAGGCATTGCTTTGTTCCAGGCAAGTAAGACGCTGAGCCTGTCTCAGCATGTGTCACGGAAGGCCCTTCTGCTGCCCGGAATCTGGGCATGCGGCTTGGCAACTGTTATTCTGGTATCGTTTTATCTTACATTCAAAGTGATTAA